AAAACTTTCGTGAAACCATTTGTCAAGACATCAAGAATTATACTACATTACTATGACATCCCATGCGTACTCAGGGTTACTCAGATAATAATCATTGAGGAGTTTTTAAGTAGGTCACAAAAATGAGCACAATTTCTACAAATCTGTGTCTTGTGGCAAATTTCAATCATGTTGTTCATGTGTATTTCGTAATGCTAAATGCTTCAAATATGGTAGAACTAGACACATGGAGGCAGTCTGTAATGCTGCAGTTTATTGTTCTGAAAGTCATGCTAAATCTTCTAATTACGATCCTATTGAGTTGAGTGCTATCAATGATCATTTATCTTTATCCACGATTTCAAAACGAGTAACGAATTCATAGAAGTACAGAATTAAATGAAAGTCAGAATCATTGTGAGACAAAAGCCTCTTGTCCATCAAATTGTAGTTGGATTTCTCATGTTATTCTACCAGATATGAATGTTTTAATGATTCACACTTTTCTGGTAAAGTTTCTTATACGTCTGAGGAAAATCATGATCGAAAATCCGGTACAGTTTTGACAGATATCAATTTTTCTAGTAACCAATTATTCTCAATAAATTTGAGAAAAATATTTTGGAAAAATTAAATCCTGATGTCATATCAAATATTCTTTCTCCTCAATGCGAGCACGAGTCCTAAATTGGCTCGATTCTGATTACAATTCGGATGATTTCATATCAAATGTTGTTCATACTTATCATGAAGCTTCATTATTTCGTGAGGGAAGATAGTGTCTGAAAATATATCGGTACGCAACAGACATGATGATCGTATGCGATTCCGGGACCCAGGTGAGGCCGTTCAAATTTCAGTTGTTAATTCTAATGACAGTGAGTATATTCTAGATCACACATAGATTGTACTGAATAAACAATCTGATAGGCGTATAGTCAACCTAAGAAATAGATATACAATCTATCACAGAAACCGAGATTCCAATTTAAGCCGTGATGTTTATGGTATTTGTATGGCCTAATGATTATTTTGTACTTAATTCCTGCCGGATCTTGAATTCCAAATACAATACGTTCGCTATTTTTGGGATTTCTCGTTCGTATAATGATTCTAATATTTCTAACTATCACAAAATGTGTCAAATCATTCGGAATAGTAATAATAATAAGTCATGTTAAACATAACAAAAGAAATATTTTAAGAACATTTATCTTAATAATGATATAAATTTTATGTGAATTAAAAAAGACGATTGTTGAAATTAAGAATGGAGCACTACAGAGATCAATAAGGAGAATGAAATAGGAGTAGTGTTTTCTATTATGTGACGACCAAGTAAGTAAAACCAAATAATTGGCCGTGCTAAACACGGAAATTGAATACGCCTGTTCTGGCTACAGAAGTCAAGTTTTCTGGAGATGGTCTCTTTAGCTTCACATATATAGAAGAGCTGATATTTTCACTCAGGAATTGATATATAACCGATAAAACTTCAGGTGTTCCTATTTGATGGTCAATATCTACCAAGTGACATAAGGATATTTGTGTCAACAAACCGTGTGATTAATTACCTTAACTAAACGTTTAGGCGTTCACAAGCACTCAAGGTTAAGCTCATTATAAATAGCTCCGCAAGAGCAGTTAAATTGGTTCTCCAACAACGAGTGACCTATGTTATTGTCAATTCATTACGTAATTACTGGTTCAGTTAGATAGGTGACATACAACTTATTTATTTATATTTAGTTGAACACACAAATATTGGTACAAAGGAGCATCAAATGCATATGCGCCACACAATAAAAATGAGAATGCGGAGAGATAAAGAAAGTAAGGTGCGTGATAGATAAAGGGGAGCAAAAGCGAATAGAAATTAGGGTACGAGAATGAAATAATAATAATGACAGAAGCGGTTCAGTTAGCAAAGGTACAACCAGAGAGAATTCTTCCAATTAAGGAAGTTACGTCCATTTTTTGTGAAAAAAAGTAAAGATGTAACGGGATCGCCACTGGCTTCTATTCTGAGCCGTAACTGATAACGCCACTAGCCACTGTGTGGCACCATCATTAGGACCCCAACCAGAGAGTCATGAGGGACCAACAGAAACCAGTCCTGTACATCTTTCTTCCATGCCACAACACCACGTCCTGCACTGAACACCTTTCCGCATCTTCCAACCAATCAGCAAATAATACACGATGAGGAACTTTCTGGTAAGACATTCGTAAAACATGTCCAAGCCACGGACATCGGTGTTCAAGATAGCAAAACCGATCGAATTACCGTCTCTGTGCCCGAACACAAGATGCCGAACTTCTGCATTACTAACATGATGTTGCCTCTGAATATCAGCAGTCCTTCGGAGACAACGGTGATAAAACACAGAGAGTCGTCTAACATCCTCAACTCGGAGAGGCCAGATTTCACAAACATAGAACAAAACTGCTCCCACCGACGCGTTGTACTTCCAACATTTTATAATCAGACTAACATCACAAAAGTGCCAAAGGTGACATGAGTCTCCCCGGCTTTCACTAGACATGAATTGTTCTCATCACTCATGCCACCACCAGTACTTATGCAACCACCCAGATTCACAAACTCATCGACTACTTCTATCTGCTCACCATCCAGGGAGAGTACAGGATTATAATCCTGCCAGTCTTGCCAAAGTACATTGCACTCGGAAGGTGCGAGGCACATGCCATGCCTACGGAAACTAATTTCTAACTGATTAAATGCTGATTGCACGGCTTGGGTATTATCACACAGTTATACAATATCATCCACATACTCAAGGTCTAAACGTCTTTCGCCAAGCAATGTATCCACGCCGCCATTACTTACATCCCTTAGAGGTGTTCGCAGAGTGTCATCAATCGCAAAGCTGAATAGGAATGGTGAGACTGGAAAACCCTGTCTAACCCCACTTCTTGAATGGAACAGTGGAGAAAGTTGGTTGTATGTCCTCACTCTGCCTGAGGTGTTTAAATATAGGACTTTTAGGATGTTAATAAAGTTCTCAGGCACATCCTTCTTCATTCGACTATCCCAAAGAACAGTCCTGTCCAACAGATCTAAGGCAACCTTGATGTAAAAAAATATTACAATTGTTGGCCTTTGATAAGTATGACGGTGTTTTACCATTTGACGGAGGGTGAATATATAGTCAATACATTCTCGAATGGAACGAAAACCAGCCAGCTACTCGCAAAGTAAGACTTCTGAACCCGGTGATTTCCAATGCATGAAGAGCCGAAGTTTCTTGCGGACTTCCGTCTCGTTAGCTGGCTCAGTCATCACAGGCCATGGAGGGTAGGACAGTCTGACCAATACTGCAAAGGCAGCAGACAAGTTGAACTGTGCTTCGAAAAACTCATCCTATTGCTCAAGACGTCGATAGATGTTAATAACTGGTATCCCGTCATATACACAGATTGTCTCGCTCATATCAAACTTCTTGGTGCCAAAGGCTCGGATGATTTGAAAAAGCTTCCAGCAGTTACCAGATACAGCCACTGCTTTCAACTCATTGTCACGCTCCGACCACCAGGCTTCTTGGTCCTTATGCAAGTTTTGTCCAATTTCATTACGCAATAGTCGTCATTTGTGGTCAGATTCGCGGTCACATGAAGCAGATCAGAGGGCTTCACTAAGTTGTAAGGGGCCTGAAGAGACCCAGTGCTAATAATCGGGACGTTTCGCGAAGCCACAAGTAAATTTACTCACCGTTTTCGTGGCGCCATGCAATTACAACTAATTCCCACCTATAATTTTCTGTGGGGTGGTAGCTAGCCTTAAACCTAGCTCGGTCTGATATTTATTTGCAACACAAGCTGCAACGAATTTACTGACATCGATCCGTTGAGGACAATTAATCTTTCGGCAATTGAAACTCAAAGTGAGATTAGCGCAAACAAGAGCATGATCAGAGTCCCAGAGAGGTACTCCAAAAGGATCGGCAATCTTGTGCACAACCACGCCAGTGGTTGCTGATCGCCATGTGATCAATCTGAGTTCATGCTTAAGATGCAGAGGAAGGGCACCAGGTGGCATATCGGCAATGACTGCTAACCAAAAACAGGTTTTGGTCACCGCATAGTTGCAGTAGACAGTATTAGCAGCGAGATTGGCTGAGGTCTTGGGCAGAATCTGCGAACTGAACCTGATCCCATCTAACTGGTCTCAATCACTGATTGTGCCAGTCTATAAGAAAGGACAAAAGTCCTCTTGTGACAATCACAGAGGAATCAGTTTGACAAATATAGTGTCTAAAATATTAGCTTCAATAATACTTCGACGCCTAACCAAAGCTCGTGAAGAGCAGACTAGAGAAAACCAGGCTGGTTTTCGACCTGGACGTGGTTGTATAGATCAGATATTCACACTACGTCAGGTTCTAGAACACAGACACTCGTTAAGACGCCCCACAATGGTAGTATTTCTCGACCTTAAGGCGGAATTCGACTCTGTTGATCGTAAGGTTCTATGGCAGTGTTTGCCACTGAAAGGAGTACCAAAGAAGTACATTAACCTTATAAAGGCTCTCTACTCGAACACAACTGGTAGAGTGAGAGCTTATGGCGAGCTGTCATCAGAATTGATTACCTCAAGTGGTGTTCGTCAGGGCCGTCCACTCTCTCCATTCTTGTCCAACTTTGTCGTTGATGTGCTTTTAGAGATAACACTCTCCTCATCTAAATTTCCAGGAGTTGAACTTGATGATGTCACAGGTATTCAGTGTTTGACAACGCTTCTACCAGTAACACCTTCTAATATATTTCGTTCCCTCCCAGAGAAATCAAAAGACAGAGTCGAGGAGATCGGAAGAGTATATTTGGCGATGACCAATATATCGGAATTCTCTGATCTAATCTGGCTAGCGATTGCGGTTGATGTTGAGCACGGCGTTACCACACGTGATCTGGTGCGGATGCCTGACCGAGCGCCTTCAGCTAGGTGAGTCCACTAAAACATATGGTCAGCATCCAATGTCGAAAACTTAGTGCTATTTATTTTGGGGATTTATTTACCGCTACAGATCACTCCCCCCCTAGTGGGGCAGTGACGACCCTAAGACGTGGCCAGCCAGAAGTTTAAACCCAACGAGTTTGTCGTTGGTAAACAATCTTCTGATAGCTTACTAAGTGTAGCAGCTTCTGGTCGTCTTTCCTTACTGTATGGGACGGAGGTACAACATTGTAAAAAAAGAAAATGTACATGGAAAATTTCGGATCCTCATAAACGTCATCGTTCTTTTCCAGCCGTCCTGGAAAAGAAAAAAGAAAATGTAAGTGCATGTCGAAATACACTCGTATGTGCGTAAAAGCACAATGTCGGCGGAAAAAAAATGGAAAATAAACTCATGAACACGTAATAGCGTTAAAAAAATTGTTTTTTTGTTTTGTTTTTCTTTAAATAGAAATAAAAATATATAAGCATATTAAAATTGTTTTTTTTATTAAAAATAATATAAAATGTCGAGAAGTGCCTTACGTGCAATGGTCGTTTAGATGTTCTGGAAATCTCACCCTTCTTCCAGAACGCGTCGTTTTAAGTTTATTTTCGGATACTGTCGAAGTATCATCGTGTGTGTTGGTTGTCGGATGAGGTATTATAAGTGTCGGAGTCGTGTCGTTCGATTGTACCAAAGGAAAATCCACGTAGATAGGATTTCCTTCTAAATACGCTGCTTTTAAGCGATCGATGCTGATGCTATCGTTGGTTCCGTTCTTATCGACTATATAGTACTTAGATTCACGTTGAAGAACTTTGAAGGGTCCTTCGTATGCTGATTCGAAGGGTCGTCGATGCGAGTCTCGACGAATGAAAACGTGTGTACTATATCGTAAGTCAGGTTGAACGAAAACATCAGTTGATTGAGGTCGAGTGGAAGCAGGTTTAACTGAACGCATTGCGTTTGTAAGCCTGTTCGTGTAGGAGGTTAGATCCATGTTCATTGAAGAGGATGAAGGATCCACGAATTCTCCTGGAAGTCGAAGTGTCGTACCATAAACGAGTTGAGACGCAGTGTATCCAATGTCAGCTTTCACTGCATTGCGGATACCTAGTAAGACGAGTGGAAGATCGTCGAAAACTTAGTGCTATTTATTTTGGGGATTTATTTACCGCTACATGCTTTTCACTTAATTGTGACTTTCATAGCATCACTCCAAACTATGACTGCACAACGACTTATTCTAGCGTCATATCTTACTGCAATAATAAGTTATTTCTTCTTAATTGTTTTCTATTTTATTTTTGTCACTAATTTGACGGTACATACATAGTCGTATATTCTTGTTCTGTGTTCATAAACACGTCTATTAAACTATTTGCGTATTTCACGTCTCCTTTATTTCTATTCCCTTATTTTCTTCCTTTCCTTCTTTAAACTCAATCCAATATTCTTCACAATTACACAGAGCCTGATTTATTATTGTTCTATTACTATTATTCTCCTTTTCAAATATGGCAAATATAATGCTAACATTATTGAAACTTGTGTATTATTGCATTTTTGAAGAAACCCGAAATGGTTTCTTCACAACACTTATGTACCCATAAGATGTTTGTGAATAATAATAATAATAATAATAATAATAATAATAATAATAATAATAATAATAATAATAATAATAATAATAATAATAATAATAATAATAATAATAATAATAATAATAATAATAATAATAATAATAATAATAATAATAATAATAATAATAATAATAATAATAATAATAATAATAATAATAATAATAATAATAATAATAATAATAATAATAATAATAATAATAATAATAATAATAATAATAATAATAATAATAATAATAATAATAATAATAATAATAATAATAATAATAATAATAATAATAATAATAATAATAATAATAATAATAATAATAATAATAATAATAATAATAATAATAATAATAATAATAATAATAATAATAATAATAATAATAATAATAATAATAATAATAATAATAATAATAATAATAATAATAATAATAATAATAATAATAATAATAATAATAATAATAATAATAATAATAATAATAATAATAATAGAGACCTTGAATGACATGGCTCAAAATCGTTTGCAATGGCGCAGGTGCAGCTACTCTTTGCATTCTCCCAAATTCTGATCTTCTGAATTCTTCATGCCCCTTTTTTTCTCTTGCCAAATTTATTTCACTGGATTATACTCCTCGACTAACATCTTCAAACCCTAATCTTTCTGATTACTGCTTATACTTTTACTATCTCTACCACTACGGAATTTGAATCGACAATTGTATCTCTGTGATAATGTAGTATGGGAACTCGAACTGATGTACGTACGTACGAAGTTGTACAATGTTACTGACTGACTGACTGGCTGCAATAGACGGTCCCTGTTATCTGACCTGCGACCAACAAGTTCCAATTGGCCACCTAAACGACTCTCTTCTAAGCCTAGACGCCCGACCTGAGCATTCAAGTCTCTGGCTAGTACTATAATATCTATCGAGGCCACTTTCTGTAGAAGAACTGTTAACCTGTGGCGAAACTCATCCTTGATCGCGTCAGGGCTGCAATCTGTCGGTGCCTAGGTGGAGATGGCGAAAAGACATCGTTTCTCACACCGATTTCTACTTACTTTGGTGGAACTTTCTAATCTAACAGCACATAGCCGATCGATCAGTGCTACCTCAGCTCTAGCGCCTCTGCTATACCAACGCCAGCAAAACCAGCCGAAGATGATACAGGGTTAGGGATAAACGCACTCAAACCAAGATTTTCGAAGCAACGAATGGAGAGCGAATTTGTAGTACTTCACTGGGGTCTTGAATGCGTATGTCGGATAGACAGCAGACGTCGGCATTAGGACTTTCTAAAGACATAACCGACCCTATCTTTTGTCTGATCTGCATTAGTGTGAGAACGTTGAAGGAACCCAGAAAGACTGTTTCAGTATTCGTATTCGGTGGAAGCATTTGGTCAATGACTCGAGATCGTTTAGATAGGACAGGTTTTCTACAATAGATGAGCCGCTCTATAATTTGGAAAACAAGAATACATAGGGTGAGAATAGTAGAGAGTAGATAAATGATGTAATATATCAACAACAAAAATCAGTGTTACCAAATGGATGTGGATTTTCTGAATTTTAATTGAAGCGAGAACAGTGTTCTCAGTAATTATTGTCACATCATTTTATGTGTGTGATACTGTGTGGGCGCCCAGACGAAGCAGGTAGTTCACTTAGGGGCTGTTTTAAAAGTGAACTGTGTGCAGAAGTGATACTTAAGAGCTCTAATTTTACCGTGACCCTAACTTAATTTTTTCATACACGGTAAGTTCGTCCGTAATTCCTTCAAATGGTTTTACTCTTATATTCTTTGTAGCTATCACCTTCGTTTTCTAAATTCATTCTTTACCTTTCTCCTACTCGTCGAATGGACAGTGGTCCTCCATGCAACTGGTTTCGTTTTAATACTTTCCATTAACACGCAACCATCTTGACTGAAGGAGTTGCATAAAGCCGTTGTTTCTTAGTAGGCTATTTTATTTTTTAATTACGACTGACCTAAATAAATGATATGACCGGAAAGAGGATTTTCTTTTCTGAACGGTCTTTAATTCCTCTTTAATTAATGCATTTACGTAGGGTACTTCTAACTATCATTTTAATGCTATTAGTATGGGTAGGTGCGCCAAACTGGAATTGGCATGCATGCCAATAGTAACGTCAATCATGATTGAAGTTATTAAACGTAATATTCCTTCGAAGGGATTTAAGATCAATTTGAGTTAACACAAATAAAATCATCATGGCCGGACCCTGTAAAATAGAACCAGATAATGTAGAATATTTGTAAGCACAGTAACGAATTCGTCTCCCCACCTTGTCATTATCACCGATTATACAATGTCGGTACCATATGGCTTAAGTCCCTCCTTAATGGGTTCACGGTAATTGTCCGCAAAATTTCCTACCTCATACTTGCAACTTGAAATTCCGCACCGCTAATGTTTGAACAAACCCAGGTCTTTGCGCCAGGCAACTTTTATCTGGAACCACAAAGGCTAAGTTATTATTAGTACGACACGTTTCAAATGTTTCACAACAAAGAACGGCGATTGCCAGCGCCTCAAGTCGGATTATTTGATTTCGTAGGCATTTCAGCACTAGTTTAGTCATTCTAATATAGAAATGGAGACCACTCCCCGTAAGCATACGCCACAGTGAATTTTAATCCAACCGTTGATGTTAACTGGGATAAGGAACAAGTTCGCGTTTCACTGCTATTTTTTAGGTTCATCTTTCCAGTTCTAACTCGAAGTGAGAAGTTCTGAACTACGAGTTAACGCTAGTGAGAATCAACGTTGTGGTAGCAGACTGTTATTATGACTTTAACACCACATGAATTTTAGCCAAGCAACTAATAACGGATTTTATTCTTCAAATAAAGGAAATTTCGTCACAAGAGGTGACTATGACCCACTTCAGTGAACCAGTGGTGACGAATCGGCTTATGCTGTCCTCGGTCATAGTTCACATGGCAGACACATACCAATCTATCGAAACTAGCACAAGTTGGGTGTGTAATGGTAACAAGTGAAAACCTGCAATTTATATCATGGACTGATCTCATGCATGAATACGAAACTCGAAGCAATAAACGGTCCCGTCGGGTCCAACAAACAGCATTTCTAAAGTAGCTATGGGCTACTTGTTGCAAGAGCACATAAAATTAGAATATGGATAGATGCTGGGATGTTAATACTGGTGTCTCCGTAATGGCTGTATATCTTGGAGTAGCTGAATTGTTTACTAATCTTGCCACGTTCAATAACAATGGCGTTGTTTATTGTGACGAATATGAGATAACTGAGTTCACACTTTCCTAAGATAAAGAAAATATGAATATTAAGTGTGCGCTTTCATTTTTGGATTTCAATACTATTCTTTCATATAGCCTAAGACTAACAATGAAGTATCCGGGTGACTGTTATCAAGGTGACAATATGCAGTCTTAATGACATATTTTATACACCAGAAATACGTATCCCAACGTTGAGTCACTAAGCAGTCGACAACATCAAAACACTATATACTAAGAAATTGGTACACGCAATACTTAGATAAGTTTCGTACTGTCCTAGTACAACTTACACCGGAAATGCCATCCGCTTGTTCTTATCGTTATCGAATCGATAAGCTTCGTACAGCTAAACCTAAAATAACAAGTATCCCAACCAATAGAGTTAAACTGAGTCGTCGCGACATATCAATATACAAATATATTTATAGTTCTGACTATCTTGATTAATATTACCTCATAAAGAAATGAAGCAAAACGTTGACCTTCAGTTGCAGAAACGTTTAGTCGACCTGACGTTATTATGGGCAAAGATCAGTAATCGATAGTACGGCAAACTAATCACTGAGACTCAGTTCTAAAAATAAAATTGGGCGTTTAGGAAATATAATTTACACTACTAAAAACAAAATATTAAGACAGATAATAGGACTTCAAAATTAACATAAAAAGTTATTTGTCATTTGTAGATGGTGGTCGACTATTAGAACCTCCAGAGGCACCAACGCTAGTTGAATTATCCGAAGGAACATTTGCCACAGTTTGATCCGGTTTTGTTGATATTTGGGGAATAGGATAAGAAGCACCCGTACTACATTGAGGCGACTGGTGGTGTGTATGTTGCTGTGATTGTGGATAGGCTGGAACTTGGGAAGGACCAGAATTAGAATAACCAGACCAAGAATGACCACTGTGTTGATGAGGCGTGTAATGTTGTGATGGTACAGAATAAAAACCACTCGGCCCCACATTACTACCATGGGTATATGGTGGTACAGGACAACCTAGGAAGAAATCAGCGTTAACAACTGTGAGATTCAGCAAAAGATTTGTCAAAGGTTAAGCAATCAGTCACTCACCATATCCCAACAAATGATCCACAGATTTCTACCCAACTGATAACTGGAAATTGATTATTTTAATTCAGACCGTAAATACTCCATCAATAAGTAAGCAGTACGGTTTAGTCTAGTTATGACTCGGACTACTTTATTGGTCATCAGTGTTTAATTAGAAAACTCGAAATCAATGGGAAATGTTGGAATAGATTTAAGTTAGACTGGTTTTAGCTGGAGAATTCGAGTCAAAAACCACTGAACAGGAGTTTTGGCACAATAGTCCGCATTGTGTTTGATTACGGATCAAACCTAGGACTTTTGGACCTCGCAAAGAACCTATTAACGTCATAAGAATAAGTCCAAAGTCTTAATCTCAATTTACGGGTGGTGAAATGTGACGACTACTCAATATTACTAGTTCCTTTACCTTCGATATGTTTGAACTTCAACAGGAGTGATTTCTCACTAGAAATGAGGAGAATTTAGAAAAACATACGTAAGCGAACAATATTGTTTTCGACTAGATCCTCATCAGACTTTACTCGAATATACAGTAATATTTATGTGAATATACGAAATTATTAAACCAATCAAGGCAGTTTATCAGTCAATGATAACAGTGGAACAGATTACATAAATAAGTGAAAATTACAAGTTGGTAGTGTGATGACAGGTGTACTAGTTGTCATAAGAATAATAAAGGCTTAAATCAATGTCAAATAATGGGAAATAGGTCGTATATGCATATAAATAATACTGTATATTAGAGTAAAGCCTGGTGAGGATCTAATCGAAAACAATACTGTTCGTTTATATATGTTGTCCTAAATCACAATATGGGAATTTTTTCAAATTATGAGAATTATCTTAATATTAAGCACTAATGAGGACGAGACTGTTGCTTAGGTAGTTGATTGCGGAGATTAGCCCAGTATTTCTCCATGTAAGGTCAGTTCGCAAAGAGAATTATCTCAAAGCTGAACTTCTTTTCGCAATCAGCTAAGGTGAGAACTTGACGTAGTAGATTACTTACACTTCAATATGAGTGCTAATTTCAATATAAAAAATCTACTACCAGTGATAACTGATTAAGGGTAATTTTTAACTTGGTAGATAAAACTTACGACAAAAACATGACTATGTCAAATATATCTTGTTATCAATTACAGGTAAAACTGAAAATGAAAAAAAATGTATGGACAGATTTCATCTTTGATGAGTATAATCTAACACCTGTTTCATAGTAAAATAAAAATTGAAAGATGTACTGAACTTTTAGATAAGTTTTGCGTTGCACATTTTTAGCATATACTTTATACATCGTTATATCAATTCTTGGAGCTACAGACGCTAAGTTAGTTTACAAATATAATCCTTCTGTGTATCTTAAACATCTAAGATCTAGATTATAACAGTTAGTAACTACTCATGCTTTCGAGCAGTCTCATTATTGAGTACGAATAATACTCACTAGTTCTATAAGGGGGTGTCATGTATGGCTTACAGCGAAAAAGTGTGAAACTTGTATCAACATGCTGCGTATAATTTTTATAAGTGGCTTTATAACTTTAGCTATGGTAGACGTTGAATTAGAAAGTAATCTGTGGCTTGGAAAGCTCTCTATCTCATACTGAAACCAGTGTCTATGTATAGGCAACCTACGATTTAATTTATAATGGTTTCAAGACAGTGAAATAATTCAGCCTATTTTACTGAACTGTATAAACACATAGGAAAAACGTCTACCTTGATAATAAATATTGGCTCCTTGAGACTGGTTAGATACCATCTGACCCATACCAACGTCTGCAGAGGACACCGACATAGTAGAGCACGGATGGACGTTATCAACAGATGACAGCGTTTGTTGATTTGGAACGACTGCCTCAGTCTGAGATCCAGGCATGTAGTGAGATGGATGTTGACTCTGAACATAGTCTGGAGGTACTTGTTGTTGTGTAGGCCAATAACTGACGACAGAATTTGGCTGTTGCTGTTGTTGATACGGTGGTGGTGCCGGAATTGGCTGAGAAGCAGCAGGACTGTCCTGGATAGAAACAGGTACTGATGAAATATTTTGGTGTGGATGAGTTTGAGGGCCGTGTTGACCAACAAGATAGTGAGGCATTGAATAACCGCTGGAATTGGGACCGAAATTTCTCGGAGTCTGCATTGGGTATCCCACTGAGCCACCTACGACTGGGTAACGGGGAGGACCATAATGTGGTGAATACGGTGGTGGGCCACCATGATGCCAGTTATTTGAGTTATGTTGCTGGGGTGGAATATGACTTGAAGTATGTTGAGTGGGACCTACCATCGGTGGGACGAGCTGAGGAACATGAGACTGTTGTGGCATGTGCTGAATATACATTGGTGGGGGAGGTGGATGCTCCGCAGATGGTTGTGGTGGAACTGGATGATACTGTACGGAATTGTAAGGAGTGTGTTGTGAAAACTGAGGGCGAGGATGAGAGTAGCCCACAGGATTAGAAACGGAGACAGGTTGATGATAATAACTGCCAGCAGACAAAGTGGGGTTCGGCGGATTCCCAATGCCAATTTCGTAGCAGTAGGGTGTCTGCACTGGACCCCCCGAAATTTGCGCTGGAACAACGGGGTTAGCAAGAGCTGGGGCTTGTTGATATTGAGAAGTAATGAGTTGCCTTGATTGGGTTGTGGACCCTTGCTGAAATTCGTTGGACTGTCCAGGAGTCATATCAAACTCACCAGGTTTAGTCTGATCGACTACTCCTTCGCCAGACCGAGAGATAGGTCGTTCTCGCATATCCTGACTAGTTGTGGTTACAGCAGCATCTTTAACAAGGTCAGAATCAACCTTTTTCTTTTTTGACGACGTTGACGAAGCAGAAGAGGCCGATGAAGTAGAAGATGCAGATGAAGGAACTTTTTTGGTACGGCCTAAAGATACTGCATTTGGTTTACCTGTGTTATTTTGTGCTGCTTGTTGTATATTTGGGACCGGACTACGCTGATGAATTAAAACGGGTGGATTTGCCGGTGTCGCGGCGTTGGGCACATAATGTAATGGGGGTGGATAGTGGTGCTGGGTATGACCGGACTGAGGAAACCTTTGCGATGAACTTTGAGTAGCTGGTTGTGTAAATGTATTTCCGATTCCAGCATACAAACCTGGGTTGATTTCATGTCCAATTTCTGAAGCTGCTTTCGGATGATTTGCAGGACACAATAAATTGGCTGAAGCAGAAGTCAACTTTTGTGGGGGTTGTGAACTCGTATCTTCTCTTTTGTCCTAATAAAAACAGTTCACAGCCGATATATATACAAAACATTGACGTAAATCATTATATCCAAAAAAGTGTTAAAATAATATTTATCAAGAAATTTATCTTTCAAGTGTAGCTACAGAACACTGATTGGACAAAACAACAAGATGTACTGAGCAGAACAACCGATGAACACGATATAAACAGAAAACAAAGACGATTTTATAAACATTCAGTCCGAGTCATTGATACTGTAATAAGTCAATATATTATTTGTTTTAAAAACCTAAGAGGACCAATTAACTGACAATAAGGATGCATATAAAACACAAGCAAAGACTAAATAAAGGTGTGCACATAAAGTTTTGAACGATCTACAATAAAATATATTCAGTATCACTAAAAATTACCACCATTAATGTGTCGCAAGTAAGTCGATCAAATTAATACATAAACAAGAGAAGCAATTCGTGTTGGGGAATACTAGTCACTCGAATCAAATAATGAGAATCTCGAAAAATGAATTTAGTGTATGATACCATGTTCCCAAATGCCCTGGTACGGCCGAGAGTGGGGAGAGTACACTCTTCCTCTCGAAATGCTCTCACATGGCCTCTGCCAGGGAAGTCCTACTCATTGCCTTTTCGTGGCGGGGATGTTGTTTACGAAATTGAGAGGACGAAAAGCGAATGTCCGGCGATTTAACCGGATTCCAAACCAATGGTGCACATAGGCTCCAGTAACCTGAGGGAACAAATGGCGTATGAACCAATTATTGGTCACCAGCTTCCATGGGACTGCATCTCCTTACGATGCTCCATTGCCTCGTTGATCAGACCTTTAGGTCGAAGGCTCCGGGTGTAGCCCTCTAGGAAAACCACCTGCTTCGGTTTGGTCACCCGGGCAGAATCACATCTCTCACACATATCGAATGAGATCTATGTGGCGCATATGTATTTGGTGCCTCCTTGTACCAATATCTGTGTTAAAATAAAATAAATAGATTGTTTACTGATCCCATCGTAGTGCACATGAAACAAGACTTGCAGATGTAGTAACCACTCCTTAGATTTGTTCAAAAATATCAGGAACCCATCACAAACAGCTCTCAACAGTCAGGTGTTTTTAACGCTGGTAAATTTATTCAAAGTTTGCCGTAGTGCGTTGTCTAGAAGGAAGACGAAAGCTTCACGACTAAACCAACCGACTCAGAGAACGAAACCCCACCAAGATGAATAGTATCGTAAACTTGTTTGCTACGTTCGATAACATCCAAATGTCGACTTGTATACCAGACAACACTATAATAGCTGACGGTGGACTAAGTTTTGTTAAAAATGATTCTGGTAACAATTTTTGACGTTTAGACTGTTTGGAAACCCTAGGCCACTGTTCATTAAGCCGTTTGGTCGTTCATGGTGGACCATGCACGAGAAAATGTTAATTCTGCTTTGTACTTCAGGACTATAGAATTATGTGAAACTACATTATTGCTGTTATCATTTTAAATCATGATTTTGTCCTTTTGCTTTTACAAACAGGTGTTTACATAAACGGTAATAAGTCTACCGAGAACATTAAAGTGGACATAGATGACCAAGCAATAAAACCTTCGCAATAACTGGATGGATCTGGAGTGCCGACCGATTATTACTATGACTTGGAGGGCTGGTGTATGAAATCAATAAACAAATTCCGATCAAACAGTAAACTTCATAGATGGATGAAGCAAAAAGAGTTTTGATGAACATTTACCTATGGTTACAGAAAAAAGACCTGAAATATCTTCTGGAAGCCAGATGTTATTTTCAAAATGTTTGGTAACGGACCGGTTTTTTATGTCTGGATACCCTAAAACAGCTTTACTTGGAAACTAGAGCCAAGTGAACAGTCAACGACAGGTATGTAAATACCCGAGGTGTACGGTAATAACGAAATTAGTTAGGTTGGAAACAATGAAGGTAAAAATTCAGAATGATTTTGATAAAATACCTGTGTTATCAGTCTTTCTAATGAGCGGTCAATAAATTGAATATTCGGGTCATTGTGCGGTGGGGCTGCCTGATTTGGTCTCATATGAACTTGCTGCAACTGTTGTTGATGTAGTAATTGACGTCTGCGTTCAGATTCCAGTAGCTCCGCTTCTCTCTGCTGCCGCTGCTGTTGACGCTTGCGTCTGATTTCTAATTCCGCCAAATAACGAGTCTTACGCTCCTCTTCTTCACGCTGCATATCGTACTTCGCTTTAATTATCATATCGGCAAACTGAGACTCAGTGATAACTGGCCTTGCTGTCGTTATTTTTTGATAGTCTAATCGAAAACGTTCAGATTCTTCACGAATGCGCTGCACTTTGGCTTGATGTCTTGCTTCGCACCCTTCAATCTCTTGACATAAATTGCGCTTGTGGTTTTTCAGTTGCTCTACTTGCAGACGCAGCGTGTCAAGACGGCTTTGGGTGATTAGTTGACCAGGATCAGGGAGTCTCGTATCACTTAAAACTTCTTGCATGAGACGATGGTTTCTCTGGAAACGAGCGGCTGCTACATGCTTCGCAGTGAATTGGTCTTCAGTATCTATGATGAAAAGAAACATTCAAGTAAAAAGTATGTTCGTTATATCTAAATAATCGTAATATTTACAAGGTCTGATCATGCTCACGGACATTGTACACATACAAACTATCGATCATTCATTATCAACGTATAGCCTGGGACAAATTTTATGTTAGACAAACTGCCACGATACAGTAGCACAGAATCAAAAACAGTGCTTGAAGGAGCTAACTTCTGATCTGAGTCATGTCAGTAGATGCAGAATACTTGGTTGGGGTCGCGTGACTATCGTAACCAATAGTTGGAGACTCTGGATGACATGGCTCAGAATCAATCACAGTGGCGTAGGTGAATACACTTTTTGTCTTCCCTTAAACCGTAAAACTAAAATCGCTTTCTATCTTTCTTTCTACCAACTAATTCTTTCTTGTACTATATCCTTATATGCTATCTTATATTATTACTCCTATGAATTCAGTGTTTATCTTGCCGTGCTAATGAGGTATGGCAACTTGGACTGATGCATATATGTGCCTGGTCCTACGTTGTAGCTGACTGACTGAGTAGAAATTACCCTAAGTTGGTCGTACAGCTTGCATATGGTGATGACTCAATCGAGCTGTATTAGTTGCAACGTCCAATCCTTAGGTCCTACCACGTCAGACAGAATGGTTTGAGAGCAGATGAAATAAAAGCAACAAAGTAAAGGTCTGAGGGTGATATAGTACGACTAACCATTTAGGTGTAATGATAATAAGGTGCTTTACTTACACAATCAGTACCTTCAGCGACGCTCTCTTCTCAGTGAAAGAAGAGGGCTACAAAAGTTCCATCCTAAAAACGACACACTATCTTGCCCATTGGTTTTTCACTGACGGCACGAGGTTTGAAACGTACAGATTCAACACATTACATTACTACTAATAGTAATATGTTACCACGTGAAATCGCTTAGTATACTTTGACGCTCATATCCAATAATGTAATTTAAATCTACGATATAAGCAAAGATTACCTTCTTCGTTATCTTCCAGTATATATGACTCCCTCAAATCACCCTGAGGAAGTTCATTCCCACGATCTCTCGACCTTAAAATTGATTGCCTGCGCCCTTGGTCTTGTTCCTCCATGCTCTTCTCAGCTAAGAAATAATAGTGGAAGTTATTAAAATACAATACCTCTTTCCTTCGCTACCAACCAAGCCTGATATGCTGGCGAACTATGGTACTGCCGTAGTAATTCCGTGTATTGAGTTTTCTCGGCATCGTACTCTTCGACATATAGTATTTTTTCATCATCAGGGAGCTCACGCCACATTTGCCCAATAATTTTCCCAACCTCCCACAACTTGAGATGTGGATTCGAGTTTTTAACTTGTTCCCAAACTTTTCGGCTGTAGCGCATGTACGGCATTAATGGTTTTTCAGGAGGTTTGGGAGGTTTAGGGACACGCATATCACTCTGAGGTACCATTAGATAATAAAGAATAATACCTTAGAATTCATTCTAATGGTCTGGAATGTACTATTATTATGTGGAGATTGAAAGTAATATGACTTAGCTTCCTAAAAATTAAGACAAAAAAACGTAAAGACTACCTTACCATTTTAAAAATAAATACAAAACTATGTACTTTGAGTGAGAACTAGTGGATCTATTATATCCGTTGAATCTGAAACGAACTATGGACCTGCATACAATCACGATACAAGAGGTAATAACGGCTAACACGCTAAGTGGACAGAATGCTTTTGCTACGTTTCTATACAAAGCACCTACTAGACTGAAAGTTTACTCAGCTGTGAAGTTTTAGGGTGCCAAATCAAGAAACGAGTGAATTAGCTTGGCAGGAACAGGTTCTATTTAGGGTCGACCGTTAACAAATACAGGAGTGATCAGTATCAGAACTCCTGTCGTTTTTAGGCTTGTCCCATTACAATGTACAAACCTTTATTCTAGTAAGGTAAATCCTATTGAATTTAGTGACATACAAAATCAAGGAATAACTACGATCAGTCTTGTACCACTAAACGTATGTTACAACAGCTTGCCATATCTATACACGAATATGCCAGCGAATCGACGATCAATGAACGAACTACAACTACTAGAAACAAAGCAGTGGATAGCTGAATCAAGAGAAATGATTTTTCATCCCATCGTAATCGTATAAATCACTAGAGAGGCGTCTGTAAAAGATAAAAATCATGATAACAAAGGATTGTTCTCATTTTTTTAATTAGATCATGGCGACACCCCACAGTGTAACAGACTTACGTCCGCTACTTAAGCTGTCATAACGCGGAGTTTAGGTGTTGCTCGGATATTAGGGCACAACACAGTAGACTAAACTGGAGGCACACCTGTTCACGAGTAGTAGTGTTAGAGTTTGCTGCCTGACAAGGCAGTCCAAAAAGCTTGCCAGTTCTTTAGGAATAAACTTTATATATACCCAGGGACTTCATATGTCATTTATTTTTCTAGCGTCAAATGTAAATCGCTCCCAGCTTGAAGGAACCGGCGACATAATGCTGCTAAGTACGGAAGTCATCTAATCGAAAGCCCCTCTAGTTCCATCCACAACTGTTTGAATGAGTCTGCACTAAGTGACACAGGACGTGATTTATGGTTTGCTCAGTATAATATAACTGCTACACTTCACCGAGTCAGCTTAATACGATGTGTCTAGCGTTGGAGGTTAAATTGAGGTTAAATACTACTACAAATCCGGAATGAAAGTAGCATTTAATCTACGGACCACTTTAGTCACTTACAAAACGCTTCTAGAATAATTCGAGCGACATCACGTACGTAAAGACGATACTGAAAGCAGTGAAATCTGAAACCGCAACTTGACTGGTACAGTCAAAATGTCGCAACTCTGAATCAAAAGCTGGTAACACAACAAAGACTATGCAGCTAATTATTTTCGAGCTGATTTTGAGTGTATATTTGTCATGCTAACATTTATAATAGACATTTATAATACTGTATGTCAAATGGATCTCTGCTGTGGCCAAGAACTTATGATGGAAACCGTCATTGACAAAAAACCAAGTAGTGAGCTTATATATATATATATATATATATATAACGATAAGAATGATAGTGTTACAAACGTGTCGACCGAGAATGATAGAATACCAAGAGCCGCAGACACGAAAATGAAAGCTATGTACCGCCACAATGAGATGAGAAATAGGTAATTTAAACAAGACATATGACTTTACAATGAACTGAGTGACTCACCCAGGAGATTTTAGATGTCTTCCGACTTGTGAAAAGGTTTATACAGTCACAGAGTGGGACTTTGTCGGTATGATTTTGACAAGTTGGTGTTAGCAGTGTTGTGTGCACTGGATAAAATAATTACAATAATTCTGTTATTTCTGCTCCTGACATCATTGAAGTTCATTTAATATTGAAACTAGCATCAGAAGAAGGAACTAAATGAAGGATTAGGCAGAAGAGATCAATGGAAAGATCTTGCTTCATGCAAATTTTTGTAGTCAATATTTAATAGTGTTTTACATCTGTTCATTTAGATCTACACGGATTCACGTGCGGCGATGTATCGCCCCCCTTAAATCTTTAAAGCGATAACATCTGTGTTAAATCAGCTTCTAAAGGCCAGGGTTGAATCGTATCTCAGAAAGATCTTGTGATAAGTTCATTTCGCGTATTTCCAAATGCGTTGTAGCGGTAAATAAATCTCCAAAATAAATAGTTCTGTAAGTTTTCGACATCGGATGCTGACCACATTAGTTTTAATGGACTCACCTAGCTGAAGGCACTCGGTCATGCGTCCCTATCAGATGATGAATGGGAACGCCGTGCTCAGCATCCCTTGCAATCGCTAGCCAGTCTAGATCAGTCGATCCTCGATATATTGATAGCTATCAATATATCTTCGAACCTCCTCGCTTCCGTCTTTTGATTACACTTGGTGGGTGTTGCCGGTTTTTCCAGTCAGAGAAAAGCCTCAGTCGCCACCGTATAACATGACGGAACTGTCATACGCTTACAGGTTATCTTAGATTTCGTAACGACTGTAAACGGTCACATACCCCGCGAAGAGGCACTTCAGGTAGGTGATCCCTCTCTAGACTACGAAGGTTGGATAACCCCGACTGGTGCTGATAACATAACGAGTATAAAAAGTCTTCCAGAAATTGCAGAAAACCCTGCAATTTTCCCAACACGAAACCGACTGACTCGACAAACAACTCGGGGAACTTCCAAGCCGGCACGCGTTAACGGCAACTCTAGCCGGCAAACATAGCCGTCTCTTGTACGTCAGAGATCTGATAACAAAAGTTCGCTACCTCGTCGATACAGGCGCAGAGATTAACATACTTCCTGCAAATCCTAACGTCCAAGTTCACGAAACGGCTTCAAACTTACGGGCGGCAAACGGAAAGCCAATCGCCACATATTGTGAAAGGTACGTTTACCTTAACGTAGGTTTACGCAAACCCATTCGCTGGATCTTTGTCGTTGCCAACCATTGGTGTAGTCCTGCTACAACATCACAATTGACTCATCGATACTCACAAACGGAGGGCAGTAGACGGAAACACTATTTTGTGTGTTAGCTTGACCTCTTTTTCTGGTTGCAGATTATCTCCCATCACATTTAGGCACACGATAGACCCATTCTATCAACCATTGCTCGATAAGTACTCCAGGATATACCAATCGCAACCGAAATTACCGCATGTAACCAGCAATGTTACACATCACATCACGACTACAGGATCACCTGTATTCTCGAAAGCACGCCGACCGGTTCCCAAAAAGCTGAGGTTGGCCAAAAACTAATTCGACCACATGAAAGAATTAGGAATCATTCGACCGTCAAACCGCCCATTGGCATCTCCGTTGCACATGGTCCCTAAAAAGAACAGCAACGATTGGCGTCCAACTGGTGATTATCGGCGATTGAATGCGAAAACCATTCTCAATCGTTACCCGTTACTCCACATTCCCGATTTGACAGCTACCTTGAAAGGTACAATTATTCGTTAATGGATTTGCTTGAAGCTCATAACTGAATTCCCATGGCCACTGACGATATTCCGAATACCGCTATCATATTTCCTTTTGGACTTTACGAATTTTCGCACATGCGTTTCGGCCTAAGGAATGCTTCGCAAACATTTCAGATCGTGAAGCTGCTTACAAAAGTTATCACTGATCACACTTGACAGCTTTTTTCTACAATTCAAGTATAAATTCCTTAACTTTCTGATTGTCCTGACGACTAGTTTTATGAAAAATGATGAACTTACAAAGAATTCTCAAAATAGAGCAATTTAAGTTATATCGAACTAGATGAGCGCATATGAACGTAATATATTTCTACTTCATAGCCAGAGGGCAATTAGGTACAAACGAATCACTAGTCCATACAAGTACCACGGCAGCGTTTCTTCAACTGACAGAAATGCAAAAAAGTATGTAGAATCCTAAGAGAGTGACGACAGTGGTTTTAGAAATGTCGTCTGAAGCCATAGGAGTTCGTTTATACCCCTTACCAGGTCGATTTTCGAAAAAAAGTAATAATGAACTTATCTATGCTACAAAAATGATAGACCAACACTAATACTGTGAAGTTTACATGATTCGACTAGATGATTCAAAATATCTTGTGGTACTGTCGAGTCTCAGTTTACTATGATCACCACTACAGATCAATTATATGACAATTACCAGGTTAAATACCTCCGTACGATAAATATTAGAGGAACAGTTGTAGATTGTAATTGCGAATCTCGTGGTAACGAAATAATACCGAGATCGTGCCAAAACGTACAGGCGGGACTAATGTGGGTACATGAGTAAATTTATGGTCAAAAACAACGGAAAACGTCTGTTTTTTGGTACAGTTAAACAAAAAGGTACAGTAAAACAATCACTGGTACAGTTGGTTATAATAATAAACGTTTCCACTACACCAATCGCGTTCTCTTTATAAAAGTATATCACTACATAGTCATGAAATTCGTCCAAGTAAATATTTTATATAATATTCTCACAATAACGAAAAGTTTTATCGGAAAACGCAAAATGCCTGTGCAATGAGGCTCCACTACTAATTATTCGAAATTTCATATGATACAAAGCAACATACTAGCAAAAAGGGGTAATAAACTCAACTGTTAAGTACCAGTTCTCTCTTTTAGCAGCTGGTTGTAGATGTCATAGAGCGGTCCTTGACTGCCAACCAAATCACTTGACGATGAGCTTTCGTTGGTGATACAGTAGGGAAGAGTCTTCATCAGATTGGTCATAATTTAATCAACAAGAGCACGTATATCGGACAGCGGTGATAATACTTGAAGAAGTAATATCGTGACTAATTACGTTTCTTATCAGGGAAAATATGTGAACATATGAAATATTCCAGAGGGTGATGATTTGGTCGCTCGAAAATATAACCAAAATATCTGGACTGTCACTGATTATCCGTGTTGCCAAAAGTTTGGTAAGCAAGGTCAGAGTTATCTTCTGCCCTACAGTTTCCAACGAAACATTCATCCACTTAAAGAAGGGTAACCGAAAATCAATGACGATTTTTTTGTTGACAAAGTTAAACCCATCTATATTGTACCAAAAATGTAATATTGAATAAAGCTAATAATAATATATTGCCGACAAGAAATATGGTTTTATGTTGACATACGTGCCAGAGTGCGTGATAATGCCTACTCAACGCAGGTGAAAAACGTAAAAACAGCAATAGCCATGCCAGCTACTATCTTACCGAGACATATAACACTAGCAAATCAAGATTTAATTTAAGTGGACGGTTCCAATTTCGTTAAGAGTCAACAGTCAACATACCTGCATCAATCCTCAGAAAAGATTTTATGCCTTTAAAGTGTTGATAACAAAACAATTAAAGAATGCTTACTTACTTACGCCTGTTACTCCGAATGGAGCATAGGCCACCGACCAGCATTCTCCAACCCACTCTGTCCTAGGCCTTCCTTTCTAGTTCTATCCAATTGTTGTTCATTCTTTTCATGTCTGTCTCCGTTTCTCGGCATAATGTGTTCTTTGATCTTCCTCTCCTCCTTTGGCCTTGAGGATTCCATGTGAGGGCTTGCGTTGTGACGCAGTTGGTTGCTTTCCTCAATGTGTGTCCTATCCACTTCCAGCGCTTCTTCCTGATTTCTTCCTCCACTGGAATCTGGTTTGTCCTCTCCCATAGTAGTTTGTTGCTGATAGTGTCTGGCCAACGGACTCGAAGTATTTTGCGTAGACAGCTGTTAATAAACACTTGTATCTTCTGAATGATGGCTTTTGCAGTTCTCCAGGTTTCCGCGCCATACAGAAGAACTGCCTTGACAGTTGTATTGAAAATCCTGACCTTGTTGTTGGCTTGTAGACGGTTGTTTTGAGTCCCAGGTGTTCTTGAATTGAAGATATGCTGCTCTTGCTTTGCCGATTGGCGCTTTCACATCAGCATCAGACCCACGATGTTCATCAATGATGCTGCCCAGATATGTAAAGGATTTTACATCTTCCAAATCTTCTCCGTCAAGTGTGATTCGATTGTTGCATGCTGAGTTGTATTGCCATAGTGTCGAGGAAGTTTCCATGGTGTTTTCCTGTCCACACTGTCAAATGCTTTCTCGTAGTCAACGATGTTGATGTAGAGTGGTAAATTCCATTCTATTGATTGTTCCACAATGATCCGTAATGTTGAAGACTTTTCCCAGTATTGAGAGAAGAGTGATGCCCCTGTAAATATCACACTTGCTGAGATTGTCTTCCTTTGGTATTTTGATCAGAAGTCCTTCTTTCCAGTCTGTTGGTACTTGTTCTTCATTATAAATCTTGCTGAATAGAATGTGGAGTATCCTTGCATTTACTGCTACATCTGCCTTCAGTACCTCTGCTGGAATGTTGTCTGGTCCTGCTGCTTTGCCGCTCTTGATTTGTCCGATGACCATGCTGATCTTGTCAACTGTTGGTGGCCAACATCTATTTGGAGATCCATGGGTGCTGCTTTGATTTTAGGTGGATCCAGTTGGGCTGGTCAATTCAAGAGTCCCTTAAAGTGCTCTACCAACCTGTTTCGCTGTTCTTCAATGTTGGTGATTGCTTTGCCTTACTTTCCACTGGTCGTTCTAGTTTACGATAATTTCTATCGAGTTTCTTTGTTGTCATACAGTTG